TCTGCAGCCCATATTCTCTCTGGCATCAGGCTATACACAACCTATTATTCTCATCTTCGTCAAGACATAATCTCAAATTGTTAAAGATTCTCTTTCTGATCTTTACATTGCTTTATTTTCTTGCCTATAACAGTGCCATCTTATCCAGCCTTGCGGACCCACTTGTACTCTCTAATCTTTTGACTTTAGTTTGCTACTCCTTGAGTGGTTTAGGTCGTACCTCTCCCACCATCTTCACTTTCTTTCCACGAACGGCTTTTCCTCCAGCCCCCGCACTGTCTCGTGCGGTGTCCCTCAGGGCTCTGTCCTCAGTCCCCTCCTCTTCACCCTCTATATGCTCCCCCTTGGTGACATCATCCGCAGACATGGGGTTACCTTCCACATGTATGCGGATGATACCCAACTCTACCTTTCCTCCTCTACCCTCAACTCCACGACCACCGATGTCCTGACAGCTGCCTGTCCGACATCGAGTCCTGGACAAGAGACAACTTTCTTCAGCTCAACGTGCGTAAAACGGAGGCCCTCCTAATTGGCTCACGTCAGCGCCTCCGCACCTCTGGCGCTGACAGCATCAGCATCCAAGGCTGCACTCTCCACCTCTCAAAGCCAATCAGGAACCTCGGTGCTCTGTTCGACCCTGAGCTGTCCTTTCTTCCTCATATCCGCGCCACAACTGGCACCGCCTTCCATCACCTCCGGAACATTGCCAGACTACGGCATTACCTCACCCCTCACGCTACTGAAACTCTGGTCCACACCTTTATTACCTCAAGGCTGGACTATGGGAACTCTCTCCTCGCCGGCCTTCCCGGCACCTCCCTCCACAAGCTGCAGGTCATTCAGAACTCTGCAGCTCGTGTACTGTCCCGCACCAGGCTTCGGGACCACATCACTCCCACCCTCGCTCGCCTCCACTGGCTCCCCATCCCCCAGAGGATCGAATTCAAGATCCTCATCCTGACCTACAAGGCCATTCACGGCCTTGCTCCCTCCTACCTCTCCGACCTACTATCCCCCTACCTACCCGCCCGTACCCTCCGTTCCTCTGGCTCCGGTCTGCTCCACATCCCCCGCCCCAACCGCCCTACCATCGGTGGCCGGGCCTTCAGCCTCTCAGCCCCTAGGCTCTGGAACTCTATCCCCCAGTGCCTTCGCCTTGCTTCCTCCCTTTCCTCCTTCAAGGCCGGTCTCAAGACCTTTCTCTTTGACCGTGCCTTCAGCTCCCCTCTCGACTCTCTACCCCCTCCTCGCTCCCTCCTTCCCTCCCCTCACCCTGACCATTTTCCCCCTGCTCGGGTCCTGACCAAACTGTACAGCGCCTTGGGACGTCCTCCCGACGTGAAAGGCGCTCTATAAATGGAATCTTGTTGTTGTTGTTGTTGTTGTACTCGTTCCTCATTCCCTTTGTCTCACCAATAACCGCTCTACTTATCTCTACTTCTATCTCCAAACCCCTTTGCCTTTCTCCTTCTGTCCCTGCTTTCAAACCCCTTTGAAAAACCTCTGTGCTTGACCACCACCATTAAATTCTCCTTCCTTTCATCTGCTCCATATTCCATAAGGAGAGTACTGTGGAACACTTCAAGATATTCCTCTGATGTGGAAAGAGCTTATAGAGATGCAAGTTGTTCTTGTTATTGTAAATGTATTTCCCCTGATTAGAGCTTTCCTATACTTTTAGAGATTTTCAAAAGTGCTCTTTGGCTCCAACAGCCAGTATGCAGCCACATTTAATTACCTCCAATAGATTTAATTTATTTCACTGAGGAAACAACATATTGCAATAATGCATGGTTATTATTTACATCTTATTGTCACTTCCTTTCAGCTAGTAAATTGAAAGTGACGATTAAAGAATTAAATTACTTACTTAGGGAGGGACATAGAAGAAAAGAGAATATAGGGTCATGCAGGATAATCGATGAATAGTCCTGAGTTACATAATCTGATCAGATGAGAGTCAGTCAGCAAGTAGTCTCTGAGCCTGGGTTAGCGCCTAAACTTGTTGTTAAGACATTTCCTGTTAATAAACTTGTAGCCTATAGTTTCTTTATTTCGGACAATTTTTTTTATTTTAGTGTTATCCAATGGAACATGAAGGCTGGTAGAGACAATGAGCTACAAATGAATATCGAGAATAATATTGGATTGGAACCAAAGGCACTTAACATTGTGTGATTAGAACTATAGTGAGTCCAGATGGCAGATTCTTTTCAATCAGAATACAATATTCCATATGGTAGTCATAAAAAGGTTTAACATTAAAAAACATAAGTGGAGCCTTAGGATCAAGTGAACATGGTCCTGGACGAGAAATAAGAGACACATTTGCTGAATATCCAGCTAACAGTAAGACATTAATGAGGAGTTGTAATATGTAGATTCTGCTAAAACCATTGACCTGTTCACTCTCTGTGGGGCAGAGAGTTGGACATTGAAGGATATTGACTGGAAAAGGATGGGAACATTTGGGGTGTGTTGCTATAATAAAAAATAATAATCCTCGCATTTGATATAGTGCCTTATTATGTCTTCTAGCTGTCTCAAAGCATGTCACAGAATATACTCTTAAGTGAATTGACTGTATGTTTTGTGGACGAAATACGGCTGCCAATTGCGCACACAGCAGTGTTCCACAAATAGTCGTAGATTGAGTGACCAAATTATTATTACTATTCCTATCATTAGCTTCTGTGGCACCCAGATGCACCAATCATTTCATTCTACCAGATCTGGGTATGAAAACAGAGTTTCTGGGGAGAATCATCCAATTTCAGTCATGAGGTTCATGGCAGTGGTGGAGCTCTTGTAGACACCATATTAGATGTACAAGTGAATGGAAAGAGTAGGGAATGTCTAAAGAATTAGGGAATAAAGTATGCGTGGAGAATCATGTGGAGTAAACACCAGCACGGACTAGTTGGGCCAAATGGCCTGTTTGCATCCTGTACAGTCTGTTCATGTCCTGTACTTTCATATTTCTGATCATTAAACAGGAGACCCTGGCTTGAAAGTGTACTTATGTTGATATTGGGTGAGAACAGGATTGAGTTCACCTGTAACATCTCCTTGTGGTCAGGTACACTGCCAACACTGAGTGTTAATGCTCAATGTGACAAACCTATTCAGTTGCCAGAATCTGTTAAAACCCGTAGAGAAGAAAGTTTTTTTAAAAAAGGAATGAAAAAGGGGTAAGATTGGAGGAGAAAGATTATAAGGTAAAATAATTAGTGATCTCACTCAATGAGTTATTTGCTGTGGGTAATGGAACTACCATTGATATAAGAGGAATGTTCAAACGCTCTGAGATGTTACCCGCATGAAGGGCGCTTGCTATATAAATGCAAGTTGTTCTTCTTCTTATGTTGGGGTTCAGGTGGATTGATGTGCCAGAGTAAGCTAAACTACTGGTATTACTGACCTGGTTGCTGATGTTGATTCTGGATAAGGGGAAAAGTGGTCAAACTTTTGTTAAATTCATAAAGCAATTTTTAAAAAAAAATGTTTCACACATTGTAGCATTAATTACACAGCCCATAAAATGAATTCGAACCGCGATATATTAATCCTGCAAAATTTATTTGTTTAAAATAAAAAGGCTTCTTCAAAAGTGCCTACAGTACAAGGGTGTGCAAGTAAACGGGGACTATACTTCCCTTTAAAGAAGAGATCAGATAGTAAAAATCAGACATTTCGAAGAGTAAAAACAAGTGTAAACCTAATACTGATAAAACGTAACTCTGACCACTGACTTCAATGTAAATCCATTGGTGTTCAGATCTCTTGTCACAGTAGAGCATGAAACAAATGCACCTCAGCATTATCTACAACTATAAAAATAAACATTTCATTGAATTATGCAAAAGAAAGTGTTCCTGCTGCCAACTTGCCTGAAAGTATGTATTGACAAGTCCAAATTGTGGGCTTTAATAATTCAGGGTGCAGCCAATATTTTTACGATTGATTATTCATAAATGGTTAAATAATTCAAAATAAAATATTATTACTATTGTTCCCAAGTCTGTGATAGAATTTGGAACATATCTTTGATATTCAGATGAAGTTATGACAACAAAAAAGTTCTAAATGCATTCAGTCCAGATGCCTATTTTTTCAGGTGGAACTTAAGGATTTGAAGATAGTATTATCCAAAAAAAGATAAATAAAAAGAAATAAGCCAAGAGAGCCCACCCTTAAATCTTGTTTGACCTAATGCAGATCTTCACGAAGCCAGTAGCTGGCCTCTGAAGATCACTTCCCAGTCTCACTGATGGTAGATCCCCTTTGGGGAACAGTAGTACGTTTCCTCAGGTTTCTGGATAAGTCACATCCCCAGATATAGTTTTACTCACCATATCACATGTCTCTACTTTGAAATAAAAATGCATTGTTCAGGTACTCTGTTAATAAATAAATAATGAAACAGCGAAACTGCACCCCAGTAATAATATACAACAGAAAGATAATTGAACTCAAAAGTAACTATACAATTTTTTTTAGACTGTAGTCTTTAGCATCAAGAACAAGCACTCAGAAAATAAATTCTGAAATTGGGGTTCAAACAGGCAAGCACAGAATATTTTTACAAGCACATTTACTACAGTTTAGTTCTCAATAGCATTGTGTTACCTATCACACAAAGCACAATCAGCCACAACTACAGCTAAGATATAATGTTGGAAACACATTCTACTGCACATTAGATTCCCCTCAAACACATGGTACCAACAGAGCACTAATACAGATAATAAAGTCATGTTTCTTTTATACAGGTAGTAACAAAGATGATCACCACAGAGTATATCAACAGACTTGTGCATTAAAAAATAATAGATACAACTTCCAGCTTTGAATTTTCCTTCAGATAATATAAACGTAGCTAGATCCCTGTGTTCAAAGGTAATAGCTGTAATCTACATTAAGGTAGAAAAACATAGCTTCAGTGGATCAAAGCATGAGCAATGGGACTAAGAAAACAATTGCTCTTCGCTACTCACTACTAACACAGTTTAATGTTTGGCTCTTGCCTTTCATGTATTTTTTGATGTAATCTATAAAAGCTTTTGAATGTTCATATATATTACAGTATTCTTCCACAGCTCCACATTCGTTCCCTGTGCAGAGACAGAAAAAGTGAAGTGGGCTAGTTACTGAATAGATTTCGAAGCAGCTCCATTTGCTTCATGTTCTGGTAGTCGTTTCTCTGTAGTGCTGATTCTTTTCATAGAACACCACTTGGGAAAAGGTTTTGACATTCTAAAATTAGATTTTTACATTTTCTACACGAACAAGAGTAGTCAACTCACGTTATGTGACTTAGACCTGGATGTATTAAGGCAAATGTGCACCCAGTGTGAAAAACAGCTCACGTTTGGTAACATCATCTAATCCTTAGTAAAATCATGGCACTGATTGAACTCACTGTTTGTGGCTAACACAGAAAACTGTTAACATATACAAAATATTAAACAAATTATTGTCTAACGGGTTGATGACCACACAAAGAAGGTACAATTGGGAACCTGGAAACATACAAGAGGACTCAACAATGACATATGTGATACTGGCCTGAAGAGGGCACCAATACTTTTGTTTGATCTTCTAGGCACCAACTTCCCTATTTATTCAGTGTGTTCAAACACACAGGAGGAAGCTTCCTGCTTGTCCACGTGCAACTTTTAAATTTTGAAGTCTCTGAACTTTATTAGTTGAGTCTTGTGTTTCCTCAGTCTCTGGGTTGGGCCGTCACTCCAATACGCACAGTGCTCAACACTGTACAACAAAAAGGTCACCACCACCAGATTCTTTGATATTAAGGTTTGAAAAGTTTGAAGTCAGAAGGATTTTAAGGCATCCATTTAGCAGCTTACTTTGACCTAAAACAATAAATATTGCAAGGTATTGTTTTCATCAGCAAAAAGGAAGTTCAAGAAGAATTGGTTAGACTTCAAAAGACACAATTGCACAGTGATCATGTCTGAGATAACATTTTCTGTTATGAACAGTTTATTTTCAAACTACAGACACTACATTTACCTGTGAGCATGCTATAAGGTGGTCTCGATTTCTGTGATCTACGCAGAGTTTAATTAATCCGAGCTGTTACAGTCAGAACCAGATATAACTGTTTTTTTTGGGGTGGCTGATGCTCGGGGGGTGGGGCGGCATTTTGCCATTGAACCCGGTGTTTGGTCTGCATTCATTACTTGTTGCAATTGAGAGCTATTGTGCATAATTTGAAATTCGGAAATTTGGATTTTGAATTACAGGGCAGCCCCGTCATAACAGAGTGGTCTGGATCCAACATCTCAGCTCCTCATACTAAGACAAAGTGTGAAAACAGGCCAACTTCCAGCTTGTCAGGTCACCACTGTGCTCTTCATGCCATGTGCAGAAAGCATCACTGATGGCATTTCCCGTGTGCTGAACATGTACACTATGTGCAAAATACACTGCTGATGGGACTTCCTTCGCAGTGGTGTCAAGGATGCTTCCTGTGCATAGAATGCATAAGCATCATACAGAAAGTGTCAGAACACGGTGGTGACCTGCCATCAATGGTGCTTCCTGTATTAGTGTCCATGCACAGCATGCAGAACGTGATGTTGCCAGAGACCTGATGACCTGGAAGTTGGACAATGGGAAGCTTCATGGGAAGCTGGCTGGTTCACAGTAGAAGCCGGATGTGCATTCAGATTGAGTGAAATTAAAAGCTGCAAATTACCAAAACAAGAATGAGAGAGTTTCTTTCTGCCAAAACATTAATGACACTGTGAGGGAAATGACACTGGATATATATTGCTGCACTAGATTAACACCCTCATTAGACTAACACATGCCATTGTTTTAGAGATCTCGATAGAAGACTGCGCAAGAAGTGGGCTGATATCATCACCAGGGAGTTTGACTAATAGGTAATGGATAGATAGCCACCACTAGACCATGAGACAATTGAATGCATGAAATATCGTGGAATTATATTCACAGACATTCACAGGAGACAGATGTTCAGCAACTGGACAAATAATAGTAATCATGTAACATGGACAGAATATATAAAAAAAGTTAGGTTAAAGTGTTAAAGAAAACATTGTTCATGATTTATTCCGTTACAGGTTTTACTTGTCAGGGAGGTAAAGTGCTGAAGTGACACATGGGTTGAGGATAGCCGGCAGCAAAGGTTACCTGTTCAGTGTATTTGTTTAAAAGAAGATAGGTACATTTAGCAAAACAATTCAGTTCTTCTGCCCAATTTCAGCCCAACTGGGATTTGGGTACATACAACAACAACAACAAATTACATTTGTATAGCAGTATTTGAATCGTATCCCAAATACTGCAGAATCTTTTGAACATTTTAATTTTTTATAGGATTCCTCAAGAATGTTAGGAAATGTAAAATGGAAGAAATGTTTGTAACAGATTGTTGATTGTTTGAGTACAATGTACAATCTTTGCTACAATGCAGAAGAAAAGTAAAATATCATTTTGCAGTGTCCAAACCAGGAGCAATAATGACCTATAATTTTTGACACTGGCTCTGTTTCCCATTTGCACACAATCATCAGCAATGTGTTTGAGAATATCATTTAGCTTTATACTCAGGATTGATAGCCTGTAGAACAATGCTTTACTGTGCCCTCAAATATACAGTCATAGTCACTTTACAGTATATTCTGTCAAGCGCTTTGAGACGTCTCAAAGATATGATAAAGCGCCATGTCAAAATGCAAGGATTATATATAATTGCATATGGAACATAGTGACATCAGACGTAATCAATATACTTCGCATATACAGTAGTTGCCTAACTCTACAAGGTGAGTTTTGATTTCTGTCAAAGCTGTAGTCACCATTGTTCACCCTCTACAACCACATTTCATTACAGTTGATGCTGTCCTTGTAAAACTAAAGTAAGCACAATATACAAGAACTATGAAAACAGATGTTTGTATCTGACAGCAACTTGAACCATCTCAAAAGTGACTTCAAAGCGCTGATAAATGCAACCATCCGCTTGTCAGAACTAATCTACCTGTCCTTCTGTGACTTGTAAAACACTGAGGCATTGTACTAAATTGGTAAACGGTGTCTCTTATTAACATGTGTTGATGTTTAACTGGAGGTGGGGCCAGTTCAAGCAACACCCAGTTGGTCAGTCTTGCATATGTAACAAAGTGATCTTGAGTATTTACAACAACAAATTGCATTTATATAGCACCCTTCACGCTAGGAGGATGTCCCAAGAGCTAGACAGTTGAGGTTTGCATCCGAGCTGGGATTCGGATTCAGGAGGCGTGGGGGTGGGAAGATGACCGGAGGTGCAGTCACAGAGGAAGTTGTTGGGACAGACCTTGAAGGAGACGAAAGAAGACAAGGGATTCTGGGGTGAAATTCCTGAGAAGGGGCAGAAAGGCTGAAGGCTTGATCACCAGTGGGCAGGGCAGGGAAATGAAGCACACCAGTTCCTGCTGAGCGTTGGAAGTGGTCTGGTTGGTAAGATTTTAGAAGGTCACTAAGGTAGGGTGGGGCAGTCATATCTATATGGTTTTGATATGTCAGGAAATCTGGGCAAGACCGTTGTGTGTTTGATAACCTACATGGGCAAGCCTGTCCTAACCTATATATGTACATGCTAGGCATTTATCGGTGATTGCCTTTAAATCTTTTGAATTGTTTTAACAAATGGTTTTCTTGTAGTTTTCTGCACTAACTTTATGATGCAAAGGGATGCAAAATGGAGTTGGCCAGTACAGAAGTTAGGTCTGTTTGTACTTTATAGCACAGATTAAATAAGTGAGTGCATTTTTAATGCCAATGATTAAAATGATCAATTGGACAAATTATTGAAATAAATTCATTACCTTTAGCAGGATGCCTAAACCTGAATTTATCAATCCTTATGTTGCCATCGGCAGGAGAAAGTCAGTACTTGGAAAGGTGAATTTTTTACTATCATGCAGACTTCCTGATGATAACGTGTAGTGGATGTGGAGGCACCATTCATCAGCACAGATGAATAGTGAACGTACAGTTGAACATTGCTTTCTGTGCTACAAAGAAACTTTCCATCGAAGTATAGTAATGCGTTATTTGAAATGCAAACTTACTGAATGGATAAACCTGCAACATAGGCACCAAAGATATGATTTTGATTTCACAATTGGCATCAGACTAGATACTTTCCACATGAATATTGTAATGTTTTCAGGACCTCAGGTGAAAAGAATGTAAAATCAAAGTGTCCTGACTTTGCATTTCTATGTAAAAAAAACATATGCAAAGGTTGGAAATTCAACATTAATTATTTTCTTTCAGGGCCTAGAATAAATATTGAAAAAATAAATGAAAACGTACTTTCGCTTCATTTCAGATTGAAGAATCATGTCAAAACTATGTGAGGCAGCATTAAACAAGGCAAACAGAATGCTAAACTATATTATCAAAATCAGTCAACGTTCATATCCCTGGATGTCATATTCAAGCTACTGAGTGCTCTGGTCAGGCCATATCTAGAGTACTACATACAGTTCTGGCAGTCGCCACATAGAGGGTTGCCCCGGCCCTAGAGCATTGCAGTGTCTCTGTCTCTGAGAGGAGAGCAAAGAGGATAGATAATCACCAACATTAAAGCAATGAGTTATTAGCAATGATTAGACATGGTTAAATCCATTCAGCCTTGAAAACAGATGCAACAGAGACAACATTATAGAGTTAAAATTTAAATGGGATTGAGGAAGTAAATGCAGAACAATGCTTTTAGATGTGCTGAGACATAGCAGGACAAGAGGGCACAGGCTTTTGGTTGCAAGAGAAATTTCAAACAAACACCAGGAAGTAATCTACCAAAAAGGTATTTAAAAGCTGGAACTAGTTACCAGGAAGGGTAGTTGAGACTAGACATTTAATGAACCCGCTCAATGACTCATTTAATAAACCCATTTGATAAACCCAAATGCAACCAAAACCCTCTTACATCCATTTGTCACTTCCTGCTTGGATTACTCAAACACACTCCTCGCAGGTCTTCCCAGCTCCATTATTCAAGAGATCCAGCTCATTCAGAACTCTGCTGCCCACATACTTAACTGGACCAAACTCCTTACCCACATTCCTTACTCTCTGGCATCTTCCTACCTTTCTGACCTCCTCACTCTCCAATCCACCACCCGGCGGCTCCACTCAACTGAAACCGGCCTCCTGCTCGTCCCTCACACCCTCCACCCCACCATCGGAGGTAATGCTTTCAGCCACTACCCCCCGAAATTCTGGAACACCTTCCTCAATCCCTCTGCCTTGCCCCTTCTCACCCCTTTTTCAAGTCCTGCCTTAAGATCTTCCTCTTTGACTGTGCTTACGGCCACTTCTGCCCCCACCTTCGGCTCAGTGTCAGGCTCCACCATTATTAAGCACTCCGAGATGCTACCCTGCGTAGAGGGTGCTATATAAGTGCAAGTTGTTGTTGTTGATGGGTGGATGGTAGTTTGGATATTCTGTATGGATGAGTTTGAGATGCTGAAGGGTCTTCTTTATCTAACCTAATCTTGTGATTTTGTGAATTTGTTCCTGTGCTTTGGAACAACCCACTTTAAGGATGTTGCATAGAATAGTTCTTTGTGGGGGGGAGAGAGATGTGTGCTATAATCATTTAGATTTGTGGATACTGCTAACTGATGCAACAGCCTGTTTCTTGTTGGGAATCTATTTCACTGTTCTATGAGGAAAATAATCTGAATCTCTGGAGCCATTGTTAAACGTAAATCTTTTAATTTGGAGCACCGTTTGCATCTACATTTTGGATGCATATCATCATTTGAAAGACTGGATAATGTTTCTTGCAATCTTCCAGTCTCTCCTCTCTGGCTTCCGTGATCCT